CTGGACAACCAGCTCTGCTTTACAAACCACTTGCATTGTTCACGTACAGCCTGGCCTCCCTAATGCCACAAATAAAAGTGGAAGTAGAAGGTGGCCATTCCATGCAGATGCAGAAAAGATAAGAAAAATGCATGACTGCTAGTACTGCCTCCCCCATCTATCCTTTTGGCTAAGCTATATCAAGACGGATGCTGAGAGGAGCCCATACTTGACCAGCACAGTTCAAAGCAGCAATCTACAAAGTGATGCTGCTTTCTACAGTCCTGGGGATATGTCCATATTGCTGGATTCCTTCATATATTAGTAAGGAGTAGGCATAATGCTGATCCTAGTTCTATCTGTAGTTTTAAACCATCCTGCCCCAGCTTGGAGCACTACAGACCAGGTCACTGCAAGCAGGTGTGCAAGTTGTGCACTGCACAAAGGCACCATGACACCGGGTGGGGCGGGGGGGAGAATGATGGAAATGGTAGTAACGTAGTGCCACACTGCAGGCCATCAGGTTGGGGGAAGAAGTCCATCCAGTTACTACTGTGCGCATCTGTGTATGCGCTGTAGAAGAAAAGGGAGAATGAAGCGCTGGAAAACCACAGCTGCCATGGGACATGACTTGATGCTCTGGCAGCAAAAAACATTTTGCACAAAGGCATCTTACAGATCAGTGGCAGTCCTGCTCCAGACACCTTGGACTACAACTCCCATCACCCCAGCAAACAGCACCTGGAGGGTAGCTATTAAAAGTTGTTTTAATTCTTGGCAGACAACACCCTGTGGCTGAGGCTCACCAATTTTTCCCCACCCCATATATACTTGATAAAGCTACTGGGAGAGAAATGGTGATGAGTACAGGAAAACACTGAGCCATGAACTGAAACCAAGCCTGTGGATACTGAGGATACGTAAGCATGTATGTTTTTGTTTTCCTGTAAAAAAAACCAGGAAAGAACATAGAATCCAGGAGTCTTGCTTTCCCAAACATGAAACTTCCCCAGGAAAGTCTGCCTTAAGTACTGGGATCCTGCACAGCCCTAGCCTGGGACAACAAAAACAGAGTATATTATCTGTGAACTTACTTTTCTCACACAAGGTAGTGGCTGTGAGTGATTTACCTAAGATGCTAATGTGTTTAAAATACGGCCCCTGTGACTATGGGGTTTCCAGAAACGAATCCAGAAAGAATTTTTAGTGTTTTTTTTTGTTAACACAATAGTTCCTGCTATTTAGCTAGGCCCAGTCAGTCTACTAATAATACAGAAAGGACAGAAGGCCAAGGGCAAGAATGGAAAACCGGTGTTTCTGTAGATAGTTTGAAATAGGGCTTTATCAAGTGAATGGTGGGTCTAATGGACTCTTTTTATAAAAACATAAAATTCGTCCCTTCTTGAGTTTTTAAGATGGCTTTTTTTTTGGCATACAAAACCCGGCATTTCCATGAGAGCTGGATAATTACCATCAAGGCACCCAAAGGGGAAAAAAATCACAAATGGGGCAGCACCAATTTGGAGAAGCTGAGCAGGGTATTGGAATTAAGGAATTACTTAAATATGATATGCCTCTGATAAGCACTGGTATCCTCCACCCACCTCTCTCTCTCTCTCTCTCTCTCTCTCACTCACACACCCACACACACACAGCATGGTACAAAGTCTCATTCTTGATTCTGAGTCTCAGCAGGAAAACCAAGGGCTTTTGGAGCAGAGTTTCTTTCAAGGCTTTTAGGCTGGGCATTATTT